CGCGGCCCCCTGCGGGAGCGGGCTGGGGTGGGAACGCGCCGCCGTCGCCGCTTTGCATCCTCCGCGCACCTGGCAGAGCCGCGGAGCAAAGCCTCGCCCGCCAGCCACCTGCGCTGCGCTCCTCGTCTGGCTTCCCCCCCGCCGCGGGGGCCCCGCGGGGACAGCCCAGCCCTGATTGGGCTGAAAGCGAGTGCCGCGCCTCCCAGTGCTGTTTTCTGTGGGCTTGGCCCTGCTGCGCCTCCTGGAAGCGCCTCCCAGAAGCTCAGCTCCGTGCCATTCAGGCAGGCTGAGAGAAGTTTTAAAACGGGAGGCAGGCTGGGGTTGGCAAGGCAGGTCCTGATCTGCACACTCCCAGTACCGCGCTGGATTGAGCCCTGCTGAGTGAATGGAGGGCACCTTGTACACTGCTCCTTGGAGAAGTAGCTACATTGCTTTGCAGAGGGTTACTCGGCTTTCTGCCCTAGCAGTAGAAAGTTCCATTGTGCCAGCGGAGCACAAGTTTTCAATCACAAACCAGCCCCGAATTGTAGCGGATAGTGTTTCTATTCTGGGCTCAAGACACTGAGCTCCTTGAAGATGAAAGACTGATCTGGAATTGTGACTCAGTAGCCTAAGGGAAGGTTTGATGTATTCACAGGAGCCAGTGCTGCTGTGCCAGCTGAAATTTTCTAAGGCAGAAATTTTGTTTCGGGGTATAATATCCAGACTACAGGCATAGCAAAGATGTTCACCGCTGGTCAACCAGGAACAGTTTTAAAAATGCATACTGTGATTTTAAAATATTAATTATCAAACAAATTCCACATCAACAAGTGCTGGTTAGAGGGCATTTCAGTTTTCTAAATACTGACCAAAATAACTTAATACATTCCTTTTAATGATTTCTGCTTTTTACTGCAGACACCTATATATTACTAGATAGCATACACTTGGCACTGCACGGACTAATATTTGGCACAGTACAGTTATACTGTTAGGTGCAGTAGTTGACACTAATAATACACTGCAGTATAAATGTTTGCTATAAGCAAGGTATTTAATTAAGAGACCTATATAAACAATGGAGAACATGGGTCCTCAGAAAATTTGTAACATTTTTTGGTTGGTCATATAGGACTTGTTCCCACTAGATAAACAACAGTTTTGCCATTAACTTCATGTGGGAGCAGGACTGGATCCGTGCTCCTTTGATAGTACCATAATGAGTGCAGTAAAATACACAAATAAAATTAGTCATGTTAATATGAGGTCACAAATACTATTTTCTAAGAGATCTCTTTATGGACCTAGCCATTCACATGGGGAAATAGTAATTTATGGAATATTTCCTGGAAATTGGCTCTGTTGGGAGTGTTTATTGTAGTATTATCAAGGAAGACATGAACATTCACGTGGCTGGACAGGTACATTATTATTATTCTAATTATCTGTCACACAGCAGAAAAGAGGGGTCAAATTTACCTCTGCTGGTACTGGGGCTGCAAATTACATTGCACAGCACCAGCCATGAACACTGCTCCAGGAGTAATTTAGCCTAGAGATCAGTGTTCCCTGTAAACTGAGCGCTTGGGTAGCACCCAGAGGAGATTCAGGTGCCACCCAGCTGATTAGCAGAGCACTCACAGTCAGCAGCATGTTTCTCTACTTGGTGGTGCACATCCACACATGCCTTCTTGGTGCACATAACCAAATTTATTCCACCATGGATGAAAAAAATTAGGGGGAATCCGGAGAAATTTTGCTGGTTGGATGTGTTGAATTAGCCTCTTCCAGTAACTTCTATCCAGCTTCCTTAAAGTGTCTTACAAACATTAGTTAATTAAGCCTAGTGATACCCTAAGGCTATGTCTACACTTACGGCTTCTTGCGCAAGAACATCTGTGCAAGGGTTCTTGTGCAAGAAGTCTTGCACAAGAAAATGTCCACACTGCCATGTGCATGCTATGCTTTTGTGCAAGAGCTCCCATGGTAGTGTGGACCACTCTCTTGCGCAAGAAAGCTCCAATGGCCATTTTAGCCATAGGGCTTTCTTGCACAAGAAATTCCTGCCCAGTGTCCACACTGCCCTCTTGTGCGAGAGCTCCTGCGCAAGAGGGCTTACACATGTTAAAAAAGAGCGTAACTCTTGCACAAGAAGCCCTCTCTTACCACGTCGTACTGTAAATTTCCTTGCGCAAGAGCGGGCGGGCAGTGTAGACGCTCTGCGGATTCTTGCGCAAGAATGGCTATACTTGCACAAGAAGCCGCGAGTGTAGACATAGCCTAACAATTTAATACTTATTATTCTCCATCTACTTTATGCAAGGAGAAATTGAGGCACTGAGAGATTAAGTAATTAACCCCAAGAGCTGTGCAATAAAACAGGTTGCTGGGACATCACTGAGAAGGACAAATTGCTTAGAAACAGGACTTCAGGGAGTCCTCCACTATAAGGCACTTCAAATTGGTCACAAAAAGCACTTCTGTTTGCAACACTGGCAAGCAAGAAGTCACACAAGCAATTCCCTCAAATACTTCAGCTTTTCCTGTGCCACAACCAGTACCACACCTTACACAGACGAGAGGTTATGAAAACTAATCTCACCAAATCCAAATTGGGTCTTCCCATCCCAGCCACATTCCCAGGGATGAGAAGATCCTGTTTGGATTTGGTGAGATTGGTTTTCTTACCCAAAAGAGCATGCTGCGCCAGTCCTTTAGAATCTAAAAGTGTATTAATAAAAGAAAGAAAAAGGTTGAGAATAAAATTGTTAACAGAAAAAAATTCCATACACTAATTACACATTTCCTGGTGCAGGCTTCTAGCAGAGATGGGATAATCAGCTGTTTTATAAGTCTCTGGAATATGTTTTTTGTTAGGATGGGTCATCAGCCCTTCCAGGCTCAGTTCATAGCAAAGAAGCTCCTGAAGTGATGAGCTGGAGTGAAGACAAATGGAGGAAACTTTAGGGCCTTTTTTTATAACCTTGCCCAGATAAAGGGAATTCCATTGTTCTCGCTGTGTGAAACCTCCCAAAATGGAGTTTTTCACATGAGTAAGTCACTTGTTCATACAGTCCTTGGCAGCCATTGTCTAATGCTGTGTGAATGTTTATAGCTAAGTTCCTCAGATATCTATCCGCACCACTTAAAGTCCATTGTTAGTGAGGTACTGCTATTCACTTGACTAGTCACCCTTTCGCAATAGGTGGGTCAGGTGAAGCCTGTTGACAGTCTCCAAGAAGCAAACATCTGAAATACAATTACAGAGCCAACACTTATAACTTCAAATACAATCCAACATATACATGAGCAATATAAACAGAATCAGCAAAGAATAAGCTTTTGATAGATATCTCACTGAGCCTACTTTGTACAAGATTTGATGTTCACATATAACAGTGGTTGCAACAATGATTTGCATGCCCATCTCAAAAAGCCAATAATGTTGCAAGCACATCAAAAGTCAGTGACTGAGCTGGGAACACAACCTACTTCTCATGCCTTCCAATCCATACTTCAATCACGAATCCATCCTTCCACCTCATATGCACTTGAACCTTATCGAGTCAACATAAATTAGCCACTGATGCCAGAGTATCCCAGACACTAAATCATGCTCAGGCATATATGTAAAATGTATTTCATTTTCATCTCTAAGCAGTGATGTGACCATTTTCTCAATCGTTATAATCCTACTATAGTATTTATGGCATACATGAATCCTTATGAAGTTGAGCAGAGGCAAAGAATCAAAGTCCAAGTTGTGTGCATAACTATACCTCTATATTTCCACATACCTGTCAGTTTCAGTTCCACAGTTTTGTTTCACAACTAAACTAATAGTTACTATCCCACTCTCCCATTCAACATAATAGCACTAAATGATGATAGCATCTCTACGTATATATTTTCTCTGGTATAAGATATTAAAGTACAGAAAGTTGACAGAGCCACAATTATTTCAACAGAAGCTACTTGTAATAGACTCTAGGTACACTTTTGTATTTAATTAAAGTTTGTTTAAAGACTACTCTGTCTTTAGAGGTAATTCTGCAGCAATCTCCTGGATTCCATTATAATAATGAGTCTTTTCTCTCCCTATTTAAATAAATAGCTTTGAATTAAGAAAGGGAGCCACAGAAAGACACACTGTTTCATTCCACAGATACCTTATCATGTGTGTCTTTTACAAAGTTTTCTACCTGTATTCTTACCAACTTTGTACCAAAGTTATTTTGTATGTGGGACCAAAATGATAATCCCAAAAAGGGATTTGCAAATCCTCTACATCAGGGATTGGATCTATCTGGGCTCTTTCTAGTGCCAGTCATTGGGTGTAGAAAAGCATTATTATGCACGGATGCTATTTGAGATGCATCTGTGAGCCAAGCCACTGTGGCATCTACACTGCGATTTGAGACCCCAATATAGCAAATATTTTGCATGTACAGGCAGTCCCCGACTTACGCGGATCCAACTTACGTCGGATCCGCAGTTACGAATGGGGCTCTCCCCGGAGGACACGGACTGTGGGACCTCGCGGTCCTGTCGCCCGTGTCCTCCGGGGGGGCTTTCTCCGCGTCTCCCTGGTCTGCAGACCAGGGAGACGCGGAGAAAGCCCCCCCGGAGGACACGGGCGACAGGACCGCGAGGTCCCACAGTCCGTGTCCTCCGGGGAGAGCCCCATTCGTAACTGCGGATCCGACGTAAGTTGGATCCGCGTAAGTCGGGGACTGCCTGTACATGCTTCCGACTTACATACAGAATCAACTTAAGAACCCCAA